TGTTGATTTTTTTCTTTGCTGTGCAAAAGCTTTTTAGTTTGAAAAAATCCTATTTGTCTATTTTTCTTTTGTGGCCTCTGCTTTTGAGTTCTTATTCATAAAGTCTTTGCCCAGTCCTACATCTGAAATGTTTCCTCTGCTGTGTTGAAATAAGCTATCCAGCGAGCAAGGAGCAAAGGAGGGAGACCAGTTATTGAAATAATGTAGGTACAAGATGAGGGTCACTTGGACCAGAAAAGTGGCAATGGGGGTGGTAAGATGTGACCAGAACAAGAATACATTCTGAAGGTAGAATGACAGATAATAATAGCCAACACTTATACAACATTACTACATGCTAGGCACCATTCTAAGTGCTTATATATTAATTTATGTCCATTCCTTACAGATGAGGAGACCGAAGCACAGAGAGATTAAGAAAATTGTCTAAGGCCTCCTAGGTAATAAATAAAGCAAACAAGATTCAAACTCAGGCAGTCTGACTTCAAATTTCTGTGTTCTTAGTCTTATCAATAGAACATTTTGAGATAAGTATTTAGGCACTGCACTTACAGCCTAACCTAATGAATATTCTTAATGAATACACAAATTCTAAAGGATACATGTAGATTGTCATTTTGATGCATAAAAAATTTGAAGCTTTATGAGCCATGACTTATTTATGTAAGCAACATAAATATTCAAAACCGAAAGTGCTTCAAATTTGTTGGGGATGTCATGATTGTCAATGAACTTAGAACAAAGAAAGGGCACCTACTCAAATTAGGATTACTAATCACGTTAGAGCTTTGTGATTTTAGTGTTTAATGAAAATGATCATAAAATCTGTTGTAGAAAATGAGTGGCCAGGAGTCTCTCTAGTCAGGAGAACAGTAACTGAATTAAAAATCATATTGGTTTGTATAATTTTGAAAGTTAAGTGAGGTTCACTATTTGGGGTAACACAAAGTTTAGTAACTGGGACAATATCTCACCTCAAACAGTCAGGTGCTAGTGTTTCAAAAGCAGAGGGATTAATTTCTAGCTCTAAATGTTTGTAGGATTATCAGTTCCTAAAACTAGGATTCTGTTTTTAGTACATGGAGCTCAGAGAACTACCAAATGGCCCTTACGTTAAAGTATTCCAGGACATTTTTCAGGTAAATTTGGTAAAATGATAATTGCACATGAGAGATATAGAGGAAAATAAAAACTGTTCTTTTCTTTAATTAGCTGGTTTTCCTAATTTCTTGTCATTGATTCTCTTTCTTGTGGATGATACTAAACAGCTTTAGAAGGAGGTCTGATTTTTGATAAAATAGAAGGCATGAACAGATTCATGGAAAAAGAGCTTTCCCTAAGATAGAATGTGATGTGTGTGTCATTATCAATGTTCATGAGTGACCAAAAAAAAAAAATCCTTAACCCCCACCCTCTGGGTGCTTTCTTACACTTTATAAAAAGTTCAAATTCAAATGTCTACTCTCCTTGAGTTAGTGATATTACTGTAGTTCTCAGTCTTTTTGATGTATAAACACTTTCTAAATGTTTGTAATGATTACTTTATTTTTGCTTTTATTAATGGAATATGTCTTAAATGAAGAATGGCTTTTTTTTTTTTTTTTACTTTTGCTTCTGACAATATGTAATAGAAACAATTTAGTTGCAGATTATCACAGATTAAGATTGTGGAAGGTGTATTGGGATTTAAATCTTTTAAAGTGCACATTCCCTTTCTTCCAATTTGATATCTTAGAAATATCCCAGAATTTGAATATTATTGTCATTTTATATATGCATTCTAATCCTTTCAAAGATATGAAAGATTTTGTGCCAAGTAAAGAAAAATAGCAGTCTATATATAAATACACACACATACACATATATGTGTATATACAGCATTCAAACCTAATGCCATATTGGTATATATTAATAATGACTATTTGGGTGATGATGTATCAACATGAGTTCATCAAGTGTAACAAATGTATCACTCTGGTGGGGGATGCTGTTAACAAGGGAGGCTCTGCATTTGTGGGGTCTGGGGTATTTAGGAAATCTCTCTACCTTCTGTTCAATTTTGCTGTGAGCCTAAAACTTCTCTAGGAAATAAAATTTGTTAAAAAAAATAATTATTGCAGTGTTAAGCTGGAGAAGCTCATCTTGTAACCATCAGTTAATCCAAATTAAAATTCCTTTGACGATGTTCCACTTGATAATGATGCAAATCTTATATATTTTATGATATACATACAAATAAAAATAAAAAGCACTAGGATACAGAAGAGCATTATTAGGCTCAAGAATTAAATAGTTAAAATCTGTGTAATATATTTGATGTATCACAACTGTATGACCCATGACCCTTGAAGATTTTTACATTTTTGTGCTGAATTACTCAGTTTAACAGCTTAGTTTGGTGCTCCATTCCAGAGTGGAATAAAGATGATATTTCTGGTGTCACATGTCACCACAGTTATGTCATCTTTGACTCTGTGAATTCTAAAGATACCCTTTGGAGAAAAGAGCACAAGGAGAGGTCACGGGTGGGGGTAGGAAAATTGATCCTGAGTCAGTTCATCTTTCTGACCCTATGTCTCACAAAAAAAGCCATCTCTCTGACATGACACAGCAACCTACCCTTCTGTCTGAAATTTGTGCAAGCTGTACTCTGTCTTTGCAGTACCTACATCGTTCTTCATTTTAGCAGGTCTCTTCTATTCCTTTCAGTTTGTATGAGATGGGACAGTACAAGCACAGTGCTCTAGGCATCTGCAATGACAGCTCATCTAACCTTTTAGAGAAGGTTAGAAATGGACCTGAGTCAGTCCATAGCCTTCAATGCTGCTTAATTAAGGCTGGTTCTCTTTCTGAGACCTTTTATTGTTAAAGATTCTCTTAAGTCACTAGCAACTGACTGATTTCGCCTTCTGTGGGGAAAATGGTTCAATTTCATTGACTTTTGAGGCTTTTCACAATCTAATTTAAAAGGTACTTTGTGTGTTAACTTAAAAAAAAATCATCTTTACTATGGGTTCTCCATACTCTCGCGGTGCTCTGTTCCCTCTATCCTTTCTTAAGAATTCTGAATTAAAGACTTCAGGGCTTTATGGAAGCCCTTCTTTTCTTCCTTTAGTCCCTGAACTTTCTTTGAATGTGAGAAATATGGACCACCCTAAGATCGAAAGTGGGCTACATTTACAGCCTGTATTAGTCTGTTTTTGTTGCTTATAACAAAAATACCTGTAACTAGGTAACTTATAAAGAAAAACATAATTTATTGCTGACAGTTTCTGAGGCTGGGAAGTCCAAAGTCCATCTGGTGGTGGCAACAGCGACCCAGGGGTCTCACATTGCAGATGGTAGAAGCAGAGAGAGCAGAGAGAGCAAGACAGACTCTCCTCTTCTTTTAAAGCCCCCAGAACCACGCTCCTGACCACCGTTTTTAATCCATTCACTATGGCACGGTCCTACAATCTGATCACCTCTTCAAGGCTCCACCTTTCAGTTACCATAACAGAATTTCCCAACTTCTTAACAGACACAGTGGGGGCTAAGTTTCTAATACATAAAACGTGGGGGACATAATTCAAGCTTCAATGAGTTGGGGGGGGGGGACATAATTCAGTCCACTACACAGCCTTTTCTCAGTTCCCAGTGCAAAAGGATGTAAGTGACTTAGACTTTGCTATCCTTGTGGACTTTCAACGTGAAGTATTTAGGAATGCTGCTGTTGCAGATCACAACATTGGTTCTGCTGAATCCTTCCTTCATGCATGTAGGATTTGGACTGAAGTTTGTCCTTCCTCTAGCTATTGTTAGGAAAAAAAAAGCTTGCTGAATAAATAAATAAGTTTAATGAGATTGCAAGGTTTGGAAAAGATTTAATCAATTCACTGCTTCGAGACACTTTAAATGAGTAATTTTTTTTTAAAAACCTACAACTTACTGAATTGATTAAAATCTTAGAGCAGAAGTGGAACTTCAAGACTAAAGGATCTAAATGCTTTATTTTATAAGTGGAGAAATTAAAAAAAAAAAGCAAAGGGATGTACTCAAGGTTATGATTTTGTAAAGTGGCAGAAGGGGGACTACAACCCCAACCCAAGTTTCCAGTTGTCTTTCTTTTCTCTAACAGCAGCTGATTTCATCTAAGCATGCCAGCAGGCCACAGTGGAGAAGCTACAATACTTTATTAGGTTATAGTGAATTAATTTGAAAGTAATAAATAATGTCTCAAAAGTGAATCTGATTTTCAAGCTAATTCACGCTGATCTCTTTCTGGTGGATTTAACAAGCCTCCCTTATATTTAACATTAGTTTGGGATTTGGTTGATGATAGCTAATCAATCTGTAAATTCATATGAGTAGGAGAGAATGAAAGTTGTTTGTATCTTTGCTCTTCTTTATATACTAAAATGTACATTCAAATTTATGATAACATTGCTAAGGTTTTCTAAGAACAAATTTTGGTTAAAACAGAGTTTTGCAGGTGACTGGGTTTTTTATTTATATATCCCTTCAGTATGAACTGAAGACTATATATATGAAGTTTTGAAGCAGTTTTAACACTGAATTACCACTAAATATCTTTGTGATGCAAATCACCTTTGAAAATTTGGAGTTTAGTTGACTTTGAGGTATGTTTACTATCATTTTTTGCAAAGCAAAATTTGCAACTATCAAGTTATTTGTGTTACCATATTTGCCATAAGTATTCCCTTATATATCTAGCAAATATCATGGCTTTGAAATATAAAAAGGCTTTCAAAAGTATTTCCAAATATTTTGAAGATTTCTAAGGGCAAGTGTTTTTTGTTTGTTTCTTTCTTTCATATTATCAAATAAGCCACTTTATTATTCTGGATTTGAATGCTGTATGCAGAGATTTAAAGGTAGCATGTGGATAGTGTAGACAATGCTTCACATCTATATTCTGACTTTTTTCTATACTTTGAATTTTTCTTTGCTTTGGCATTTATGAATGCCTAACTCACTAGAATCTTTTTCATTCCTTTCAGGTAAACATATTACCAGAAATACAGCATCAGCTTTGCAGAAAGGAAGGATTATGTCAAATAATTAGAAGATTTCCAGGTAATCTTTAGTTTGTTTCCTTATTCATAAACACGAGAGCTTCCTTAGCAGACTCCAACTAACAAGGAGGTCTCAGATCAGCAGCTTAGCTCCTTTGTCTATCTATCAGTTCTGCTATCACAAATCTTCCGTAGTCCACAAGGTTTTGCCAGTGGGAAGACCTTGGTAATAAGGAATACTAGCATAACATTGATTTGCTAGATGAGTATTTCCTTTTCTCCTTTCTGTTTATCTTTGAAATAATTGCTGCCTTATTTTAACAGTAATTATTATAGTAGTTCTTAGTTACACAAAACTCAAGGTTTTAAAAAATGTATATTTCCTTCTGATTCTAGAAAATCTGTTTCTCCTCTCTGGAATCCTCTAAATTTGTCTGTGGTTTTGTTTTGTTTTGTTTTTATTTTTATTTATTTATTTTTGTTTTGGTGGCTGGCTGGTCAGGGGATCCAAACCCTTGACTTTGGTGTGACTGTGTGTTCAAGACAGGATACTGAATGAGTAAATCATGTGTCTTGACTGTGTTAGGAATTAGGTACAAAAATTACCATATCTAGTTTCCTCATAGGTTCCCAAAGTGGAAAAAAAAAAATCAGAATGTATATGAGCCCTTATAGATAAAATAAGCCCTCAGAGATGAAATTAGAGCCTACTTTAAAACCCATCAGTGAAAGGGTTCCTCAAATTTCTTGTTTAAAACCTATTTAATGTTTAATAGTTTATGCCCCTGGAAGGTATGTCACTATATAGTTAAAATTTTAACTATATAGGATCCACATAGCTACAATTCTGTTTTGATTTTGTTTCTGTTTTTAATTAATTTGTGTCCCAGTAGAATCAGAAAACTGATGATGTATCTTAACCCATCAGCTTTTTGGGGGTTTCTTTTTCGACACCAAACATACACCACATGGCCATGGACCCCTGTGAAGACTATAGTCATCTACTATCCTTTATCAGGAATTAAAATAAAATAAAAATGAATCAGCAATTCAACTTTCAATTTAGGGTATATCTCTAAAATAAAGAGCTGTATAAATTTGCTTCTGTGGTTATTGTTTTATATGACAAATGTAACTGACTCCATAATCTCTCTCTCTTTTGTTTTCAAATAAATTCTAACTGGACAGTTTTTTGTTTGATATAAAAACAATGTTTCCTGTGAAAAGCAAATTAAATAATTATTTTCATTAATTCAATATTAATAATTCAAAGTTATTCAAAATTAATAATATCCAGCAACCCTTGAGTTAAGACAATCTGAAAAAAATTTATTTACATTTTGAACAGAGCCTACAGATTTTTCAAGTATGTTTTTCTTTGTTGCTATTCACATTTCAGAATGCTTGGCTCAGATAGTTAAGTTTTCTTAGCATTGTATTTAGCAGAATAGAATCACAGAAGTGAAAAAACTGTTTATGGTCAGAAATGGATTACCAGTTTTAAAAAAATTCCTCAAACAATTCTCATACACTTTACATTTTGGTTTCATAAAATTAAGAAATATTTTCTGTCTTCTTTTGCTTTTAACATTTTTCGTTCTCCGGAACATCTGTAAGTTCTACGCATTTGTAGTCCTTTCCTCACTCTGTCTAGTGTGTTAATTTTCTGTTTAGCTCTGACTCACAAGATAGTTTCACAAAAAAATACAGCCTTCTAAATGGAATTATTTCTTCTATCGTGTTATCTTTCTCTAGCGGAACATAATTTTCTTAGATGTGTAGCTTGAAAGGAGAACGCCTGCAGCATTATTTTCTGCTCTAAGTTTTATAAACAGTAACTTTTGTTGTAGACTATTACTATGAATATACAGTATATAATATAAACTCAGTATTCAAAAACCAAAAATACTTTGTTTCTTGTGAATGCTAAATATTTAGTACTGAATACAGATTAGATAGCAAATTGTCAGTACCTAAATATATAGTATTATTAAAAAGATAAGGTAGTAAAACTAATCATGATACTATATAATCTAGACAGTTTATTTAAAGCCCAAATGGCCTGTGCCATTTTAAGCTGTGTTTCATTTGGAGGTTGACAAAACACAAATTTTGAAACCAGAGATTTTATCCCTGCCATCTATTAGCTGTGTGACTTAATCTGGTTGTTGGCTTTTGTTTGGTTTTTTTTTTTAATCTGTAAAGTGGGGATAATAAAATCCATTTCATAGGTTTAATTTTAAAAATCAAGCAGATTCTGTATGTATGTATATGTCTGTCTGTAATTTGATTTGAAGAACAAAGCATATTATATGTAATACTTAACACATAATGCTCAAAAAATAGTAATGGGATCATCCTAGATTTGAAAAATCAAGCAACAGGCCTCACGATACTTAATATTTTCTCTCTTTACAAAATTGATTATACTAAAATTTTATGTGAAACGTTTGAGATTTTACCCTACTTCCAAGACCACAGGTCAACCTGCCACAGTTTCATGAATTTTGACAGAAGACATGAGATACCTGGGTCAGAGAAAAATGACTTTTTTATTTACAGCAATAACAGTAGGCAGGTGAAGCATTTGTATCCGTTCACTGAACCCTGTTTCACCTAGTCCCAGCTGGGTGATACTTGTATCCTTTGTGGTTTGTATTTCAGAAGGGGAGCCCTGAGGAACTTAGGGTGTTTGAATCTTATAAAGGGCAGTGAGCAGGCTTGTCCTTTGCCCCAGAGAGAGACATTAATTTTTTTTTATATATAGGACAAAAAAAATAAACCTTCCGTTTGCTCTGGAGTGAGATATCATCTCTATCTTTCAAAGCTATCCATCATATAAATATCTTTGAAAAGATAGTCCAGAACAAAGGTTGTCAGAGACTTTGTTTGCAAAATGTGCAGAAAAGTGATAGATACATGGAGAAGCGTCTCCAGCAATTTCAGAGAATACTTAACAAGTTCTAGCTCTGAAACTCAATCGATGTATAATTCTAAGCAAAACTTAAAATCTAATTGTACTTCAGTTTTCTTGCCTATGAAAATCCAGGTTTGGCAATGATCAATAATGTTGAGATTCCATGAGTTTACTGTGCCTTTCCACCATAGAAACGTGCTGTCCCAGGCTTTATCTTCTGCGGTAGGTAAAGCCAGGGGGTGCTAAGAAGAGAGGCATGATCATACTATAAATTCAGCTGGGACCCATGCAAGTGAGGCAAGACAGAGTTTTGGCTAGATGCAGAGAAGTGATTGGAGACAGCAAGTAAGGCTAACACAGTCTGTTCCGTTCTGTAGCCACACAGAGTGTACCTGACATTAGACTTGTGACTCACGTTGAAGGGCACACATCCATGGAATTTTTACTGGCTAGCACAAAGATCTATTTTTATCTTGCCATTTAATGCTTTGCTTTTTGAAAAAAAAAAGTCATAATTTTTAGTTGACCCAGACTTGTTGCTAATGTTTTTTGTTGTTTTTTATTGTTTTTTTAATTAAAAAGAATTTCTTTCCCATATTTGAAATACAAGTACAAAACAAAACATAAGAGAACTGTTTTACTTGGGTTGTGAGTTGTTTTTGTTCTTTTTAGTGCAGCATCACCATCCAAGAAGTCCTGGTTAGGAATGTGCCAAGTTTTTGGTCAAAACTCATTCTTTCCAGTAGTTTTATCTCCGTTCTGAGCACCGGCTTTCATGTGAAATTTGAAATATACCCAGAATTATACCCAAAGATAGCATTTTGAATATTTTAGGGTCTATGTGTTCATTTTTAAAGTAACATGTGAGTACATAAAGAAAAAGGAAAATAATCGATAAAATTTAACAACTTTTGTTGTATTTAGATAAGATAGGGCTTTAAAAATTGTAGGTGATATTTAGCACCAAATATAAAATATAACTTTAAAATAATATAATTGAAATTATTTTTAAACATTGACCAATAATAGTTATTTATCTTAGGTGGCACCAATGATTATTTTTAATATTCTAGGTCTAATAGTCCAGGCAAACTTTCAGAGAAGGCCGAAGTTTGCCTATTCTCTGTGTTCTCAAATCCTGACATTCTTTCTCTGTGCTTTATGTGGACTCCTTATGCTTCTGTCATTCCAAAGACTCTCACCTTCTGTCCCAAACATAAGTATATTCCTTATGCAAAACATTCTTTTTCCAAGTAAAACTCTTATCTCTTTAGTATGACTGACTTCCACTAGGTGACAGCATAAAGTAAGCTGATGGAACTAATTCAGACTAAATTATACCCTCACCCAAGTCATAAGCCTCTTAAATGTATTTGCATTTTTATAAAAGAAGCTTGCAAACCCAATGAATTTCTAATTGAAGTAATGTCTGGAAGTGCATTCAAATTCCCATTCAGTTCACCAGCAAGCCATCCATCCCTAGAACTTACTGAATCTATTCACTTTTCTCCATCCCTGCCAGGACCAGCCTAGTCCAAGTCAATATTCTCTCATATTTTCCCCACTTCTTTTCTTGCTCCTGAGTAATACAATTCATTGTTGAGACTGTAGTCAGAGTGGTTTTCCCTCTCCACTTTCATAATAAATAAAACAAGCTTATTAGATCTTCTCATAGACATCTGTCTCGGGACTGAAATAGTGATGCCCAGGTAACCAGCTGTCTGATGCTCTGATTTGACCTAAGGGTAGACTTTATCTAGAACAGGAATCACATACCCAAATGCTTACAAGGGCCTGGCATGTGACATAATAAATTTCATAACAAATTCTGAAACTTGAGAGACCAGAAAACCTGCATGTTTCCAGTATCTGGCCTGTCATCAACTGCATCCACTCTTGTACAAAAGCCATTTGGTCTCCAAGAAGAGAATAAGAGTTGAAGACATAGGAAAGTACAAGGCAGTACGAGGTGGCCCCACCCAGATACATCTCTCGGCAATGTTGCAATGTTAGAAAACTAAAGAAAATTCCCTCATGTTTCTCAACCCTAAAAAATTCAGTTGTCATTAGGATTCAGATCCTGTCCTGTGGCCTCTCACCTCCATATCCCCGTACTTCTCTCTACTCCTTACCTTCAGCACATC